CCAGTGTCAGGCAATGTGGAAATAAAAAAACAGTTTGAATGCGGTCCCTGTCCTCTGAGCACCTCCACATGTTGAGGGGAGATGGGGTCTGAAGGACGGCTGTGCTCTCTACCGCAGGGAAAGTTGGCACTTCTTAGTTCAAGAGTTTTGGGGAATGCATCCTTGTGGCAGCAAAGGTGAGAAATAGACTTTGAAAACAGACCCTGGCTGACTTCTGCTTAGCCAGTACAGCTGCAGAAGGTCAAGAGGGACAGACGAGGGGCATCCTTCATGTCAAAGGGTGGAAGTTCCTCTAGAGTCAAAGCTGCAAGGGGCACAGGGATCTTGCAGCCAGCCTCTAACTTTTCATATAGGGGAAATTAAGACCCAGAAGAGGCAGTAGTTTGCTCAAATCAACAAGACAGTTAGTGGAAGACTTCCTTGTAAGTGTGTGAGAAGGAACATGACAGAAAGCAAGTCTGATCCATATGTCCAGGCCAACATGTAAACCTTTCTTTGACTAGCAGTTATTACTTCCTTGTCTAGAATTCCCTGAGGATTAAAGTCACCATGACATCTTAGTTAATTGACTAATCCCCAGGAAGTGATCAAATGTGTGGTTTTTCAACTGATTATTTTTCTAGTTCAGTATTCCCATGCCTCAGGCATGTAATAAAGTTTGTCTGTTCCTTTATCCATTTAAAAAAAGAAAAGAAAGAATGATTACTTCCAGTTACTGGTACTCTGCCCTAGGTATTTGGTCACTTAGTGGCAAGGTAAATGAGGATTTACGTAATTGGGCAGTGCTGACAGGGAATCCTCTGGACAGCAATGCACCAGGTAGGCACAAAAATGCTTTTTAATTTACATGATGTGGAAATAGTAGACTTTATCATCTGACAGGACCTCTTTGAGAGTCCCAGTTCTGTCACTTTGTCACCTTGTGGCCTTGGGCGAGTTATTTTGCCTCTAAGACTGTTTCCCTGTCTGTAAAAGTATGGTAGTGTGTGCCTGGGTAAACACATGAACATACCTCTAAAACAAGGATTCCCATGGGCTTCCACCCTAATACAATGTCTGCTGCATATATTACAGGGATTTTTGCTTTAGAATGGGGTCTTGTTTTTAATCCTATATTACAGGCTACCATAGGAAACAGTGAAAGGTTGAAATCCTATGATTTAACTGTCGGTCTGTCTACTGTCTCTGAGAAATACCTTAAACTGGAAACAAAAAAGACACAGCTGGTATCTTACGATTTCCTTCACCTGTACCATTGATCATTCCCCATTCATTCCTCCCCACGTCATTGTTCTTCCTTTTCCCAGCCTCACAGGAAATGAATGGAGCCATATATAAAGCTACATGATGTAATTGACCTTGTGCACCTTTAATTGAGGACAAAATTTGCGAAAGTGCCGCCACTATCCACCAGTAGTTTACTTTACAGCTTGTATCCTGGCTAGACTGGCTGTTGCTGTATAATTTGTCTAGTTTTGTCTGGAGCCTTAGACTATTCTGCTGCTTCAGGGCAAAATCTTTTGGGGTATCATTAAATGGGATTGATAATTGGCTTCTGATGAATATTCATTGTGACTAATGACTTTGGGCAAATTTTACACACACTGTCTCTCTATTCTCCCACCAAGTGAGATATTTGATAGAATCATTTTCTTTAACTTGCACTTTAATTAAATACTCACAATACCCCTTTTTTGACTATATTCCTTATTGTATACTTTCATTACATAAGATTTTATCCTCTATAGGGAATGAGTGTAGTCCTTCAGACTGCTACATGTGTCTGGTGATACTGTTTAGGACTCTATATATCATTTCTGCATCAGTGTAGATATACAGAGACCCCGACTGCAGTCAGCTTAGACACTGTTCTTAATGGTACACAGAATGGGTGTCGCTTTGTATTTTGGAGAAGAGCCAAACAATCACCTGCTTACTTTGTTTGTTTTTTTAATCAAATGGGTGAATGTGTCTTACCCAAATTGTAGAGACTTGGCCTTAGAAAACCTCTGATGATATGATGGAGCACCTTAAAAGCTTCTGGATTTATTTGTTTGTTTGTTTGTTTTTAATGAAGGATAACTAGTTTTAAAATCTTAACCATTTAATCTGGTAGATTTATTTTGAGATTAAGGAGTAATGGTAAAATGATGCCTGGAGATAAGATTTGGCCCAAAATACTTTAAGCAAACAAGAAACAGGTAATAAAGTCCCACCTCACACAAAACCATCCTAGTGAATAACAATGATAATTACAAACAAATTCATGTGATGGTGTTACCTTAGTACCAAAGAGATTTTGCAGCACTTATTTGTTTATAAATATATTTATAAAATTAATTTTAGCTATTAATTTTATCTTTAATTTTTATCTATTTAATAGAGCTATAGTTTAGACATAGGATTGGATAGATGGATGGATGGATGGATGGATGGATGGATGGATGGATGGATGGATGGATGGATGGATGGATGGTTGGATGGATGGATGGATGGATGGATGGATGGATGGATGGATGGATGGATGGATGACTCAGTTTTTCCAAAAGTGATATATTTGTATGCCTAAGCTTGTCCTTGTTTTGGAATGTGAGTTTGTGGAACTAATGAAATGCTGGATGTGCTCATAATGTAAGCCAAGCTCTTAGCTATCTGTATGTTGTAAATATAGTCTAAATAGGAATCGGGTCATTAGTTTTTAGTTTATTCAGGGTGCACACTGCATTGACAGGCTCTTAGATGCATACAGTTGAGAAGTGTGGAGATGAAAAAAGAGGGCCTTTGTGTACTTCACAGCCAGGGGACAAACTTCAGTCTGTTCCAGTTCATTTAATAACAGAGAGTCAAGGTAAGGCTTGAGAGAGGAAAAGAGAGCTCGTTCAGAGGCCTGAGGGAACAAACAAACCCCAGCAGGTTTGAGAGATGAGTCGAATGGCATAAGAGATGGAAAGAGGTCCATAATTCCTTTTACTTCTGCAAATGGTGTGTCCCAAGGGCAAGCTGGGGAGGCAGTTAAAGTTGGCTGGAGATGCTGCTTCTCAGATAGACCAGGACTGGCACAGGCATTCTATTCCAGCTGTGCCCTAAAGGCTTGCAAGCAAGAAGTGATGTGCACTTCAGTAAGAATGCTCTGGTTAAAGATGAGCAAAAGCCCTGGTGCTCAGGCTGTTGTAACCCTCCAGCCAGACATGCGGGTACCATCAGAGTAAAGGTAGTTTACACTCCACTCCATGCTTCCAACTACATTCGTCCTTCCAAAACCCTAGAAAGACTGATCATGGCAGCAGCCTCTATCAGAACCTACAGAATAAACTAGGACAGGTGATTAGGGACCTCGGTGCCTTGATCTACTCCTCACATGTACCTGATTTAAAGAATGACGTCTGGAGAAAAGAGTGGGTGAGGAGCATAGCACTCTAGCTTCAGTACACAGCTTTCACAACTGTGAAGCATCAGCAGCATATCCAGTTTAAAGCTGGTTGTGTTATACTAACTTCTGGGATTCTTTTAACTCTTTCACCACATAAATGTCCTTCTGTCAGCAAAGGCCAGTTACCAGCTTCCAAAAAACTTAAAGGCCTCATAGTAACAGGCTTCCTAGAAACCAAAGAAACGTAAGGGAAAAAAGACAGGAATACATGTTGTTGACTGTTGTCACTTAGTAGCTGAGTCTGCAGGGTTACATCCTGTCCCTTTTGCCATATTGAATTTTATAGAGGTTGTATTGCTTTTCATTACCTTTACCTATCCATTTTTAATTGTATCAGTTACCTTGTATGCCATCTCCAGTTCTTAAGAATAAAGAGAGGGAATACAAAATAAGAGCTTATTGAAAGAAGTGGGGAAGGGGAAGGCCACAAAGGATGCTGGAGCAATGAATCAACTATGTGGGAGAAGTAGATTCTCACCTCAGGTGTAAAGTCCAAATTAATTGCAGGTAGATTCAGGAGTTAAATGCTTGCAGAAATTTCAGAGGTCTTTCCTTAGACAAGGAGTGGGGCTTGTCTACACAGTCATGCAAACCTCTTCTCTCAGAGACTTGAGGAAAGTGAAGGCTAACTTGTCAAAAACATCACATCAGATGATGCTCTTTACAAGTCCTCAGTGCTTGCTTATAAATCAATTTAAAAGATACTAGCACTCCTTTTAAAAATCAGGAAAGGAAGGAACAGACCTAAGAAATAGAGTCAGGAAACATGACAAAAAATATTCACCCTCCATGCTAATCCTGGGGGTGAAAATAAAAGTGAGATGGAAGTAAGTTTAAACTTGATTACCATGCTTAGTCCTGGTGAGACTGTGCGAGCCTGTGCCCTGTCAGTTACACTCACACACATCCTTATACATTCCTCTGCCTACTGAGTACTGTGATATATCTGTAAGCCGTAGTTAGCTCTGGAATCTACACCCAGAAATCATATATCCAAATATAAGTGTGTAACTCCATGATAGAAAGTAGCAGAATGGGTTTGAGGAGAACACTGAAGATGGTGAGGGGGTGCTTCCTAAAACTATTTAAGGATGTGGGAAAATGCTGTCAGATAATGCCAGTATAAAAAGAGAAAAAGCATTATATTTACAGTCATTTTAGTTTCTATAGTGCTTAAATGTACAATACCCTAAAATGTTAAATAATCTTAAGAAGGTGCTGATTCTTTTATCACGTTCATTTTCTCAAATTTCTACTCTAAATGTACATGTGCTTTAAAGTCTTTTATTCACTCATTCATTTGTGTGTGTGTGTGTGTGTGTGTGTGTATGTGGTCCTGGGGATTGGACCTGGATCTCAGATGTACAAGCAAGTACTACCACTACCACTGAGCTGCACCCTCAGCCTTACATTAGCTTTATAATCAGGGAACAGGGCACGGAATGCATATTTTGAAGAGGAAGTCCACTGCATTGCACTGGAGTGGGCACATCTGACTTGAAGTCCTCAACTTTGACAGCGTCTCCCTCAGCTTTGCCTTGAGACCTGACTTTCTACTCCTCTTTTGCAGTTGACTGCCTGCATCCACGGCTCGGCTGCCATGCTCTACCCCATGTACTGGCAGCATGTGTACATTCCTGTGCTGCCCCCGCACTTGCTGGACTACTGCTGGTAAGGCTGCCCAGGACCCTGTCCTCTGCTTCCTCTTCCAGGAAAGACCTGAGACTATAAAGGCTTTAACTTGTAACTGCAATGGGTAACACTAAAATAAAAGTAGTTTAAATGGTACTGGGTTTGGAGCACTTGAGAGCAAGGTGCTTTATGTCATGACTTTCTGAAGGGATCAAGAGAGTAGCTAATACTTTTAGCACTTCTCACTTTAGAGAAGCCAAGCACCAAGAAATTGTTTGCTTTTTCCCACTAAGACACATTGGAAACCGGTGACAGGAACCATTGGGATCTACAAGATCCCTTGGGTTTCAGCCATGTGCTAGCATGTCCCACCAGACTTGCCCTTAGCTGTGGTTTGAGCCTTCCGATTTTGTTTTCTCTCTGTTTCCTTCTTGCAGACCTCCTCCTCCCTCCCTCTGATCAGATACTTCATGAGATAGGCCATTGATTCAGAATGATAGAGGCCAGTCAACTGCAATGTTTGTTATTTTCAATACTCTCTCTGAAAAGGCTTTTCTAAGTAGCCACCTTGTGTCCTAGAAGCCTAAAGGTATTTGTGGTCACTTTGTTTTGGATGTTTTAAGTTCAGCCTCCTCCCAAGAAAGCCACATGTACAGCAAAGACATAGCTCAGGGACAGCAGAGACATGCTCATGAGCACAGTGCTGAGTGAGCTAGCCCATTTCTTTCTGATCCTGGTGGGTTTTCTCAGTCATACTCTCTCCCAGTTCTGTGCTAGATGTTGCACAGAATTCTAAGACTGTAGGCTGTTTCCTTTTTTGGTGGGGATGGGGGGTCAGTTCGAGACAGGGTTTCTCTGTGTAGCCCTGGCTGTCCTATAACTCACTCTATAGACCAGCTGGCCTCCAAGTGGAATTCAAGATGTGTGCTACCACCATCACCCTGGCATTTCTTTTTTTTTATTTTTATTTATTTGTTTATTTTATGTGTATGAGTGTTTGGCTGAATGCATATTAGTGCCCAGGCCAGAAAAAGAGGGTGTTGGATCCCCTGAGACTGGAGTTACAGATGATTGTGAGCCATCATGTGGGTGCTGAGGAATTGAGCCTAGGTCCTTTGCACGAGCAGCCAGTGCTCTTAATTGCTGAGCCATCCCTCCAGCCCCTTGTAGAGTGTTTCTTGATTGATCAGGAACTGTGCCCACATTGTATTTGCCATGTCTTTTTACACTTTGCTCTATTTTGGAAATTTGTTCTGCGTTAAAAATGCCTTCCAGATACCCCGGTCTAGATTCCATTTTGATCCCTTACAGAGCACTTAGGAGGGGTTGTATGTTTTTAAACAGAAGGATCAAGGTATGATGCCCTTGTAATAGAGTTACCTTATTTGGGGTCCCTGCTTTCCTCAGGAGTGTTTTCAGACCCCAGGGCTCCTTCAGCACCCTACTTCTATGCAAGTTCTGTGTGTCTCCTGTCTACTAGGAGACCATGAGTGCTGTGCTCTTTCCATCATCCACTACTCCAGTTCCTGGTCAAGGTAAAGGTCATAGGCTTGTGTCCCTACAGCCATGTCATGGTGCCAGATCCTCCATGTCCTTTGGTTCCTATCACAGCATCTAGGAACCTGCCTCACTGCCCTGTTACTGCTGTCTCCTTACTGCAGTCTGTGTCCCATCTGTTTAGATATCCTCAGCTCTTTTCCATCCCTGACATTTTCTGTGTCTTTGGAACCCACACTGTAGCCCCTCCCACTCACACTGTTGGTGTTTGTCATCTATACAGAGGTGACCTCCCTCCCTCAAAAAACCCATGAAACAGCACAGAGAGGGCTAAGCTAAGAGGACAACACCAATTCCTTGTCTCAAGTCTGTCATTGTCTGGCTGCACAACTTAGAGAATCTGGATTTGCCTCTAGGAATCTGTGCCCTTACCTGAAGAGGGCCTCCTCAATCCTTCCCAAACACTTGCTTGTATTGAAGTACGTTTTAACCTGAAACACACTGTCAGCCACACAACAGAGTGACTCTTGACACCATGCAACCATTTGAAAGCCCCTCCATTGCCTCTTTCTTCTTCCTGTTTTTTTTATACCTTCTGTCTTGACCACAGCTTCCTCCTAACCTCCTTGTAGCCTCTCTGTCCTTCCTTTCACTGATCCTACTGGATTTGCTTGCCTTCCTGTTTGCACAGGACCTTCATGGAGTTCTCAATGTGATGAATAGTTGTACTGTATTGCAGACACTGCAACATCTAGTCAAGGCCAAGATGTCAGTCAGTCTCCATCAAGAGGCACTTAGATGATGAGCTGTTGAAGATAGGCATGAGAAGGGAGTGCCCCCGCATCTTCCTATCTGCTCCTTTGACAGATACTGCAGGGGAATTCTTTTTTTTTTTTGTAATTAAGAAATTTTTTTATTTATTACACATACCAATCACAGATTTCCCCCCATCCTTCCACCCACTTCCCCCTCCCAGTTTTCCCCCCAGCCTACTCCCCATCCCCTCCTCCGAAAAAATACGGCTTCCCATGGGGTCAGCAAAGCCTAGCAACATTCAGCTGAGGCAGGTCCGAGCCCCTCCCTCACTGCAAGGGAATTCTAAGGGCCACTGCAGGCAGGCAGGCCTGCTAGAAAATGGTGCTGCCAGTTCTCAGCTTTCCCTGCTCCTCTGCTCTCAGCCCTGACCCTCTCTATACCCATCATGGTCAGGCCAAAGGCGAGGCTTCTTGCTCAGTTGAGGCCTGGGGGGCCAGGTGGCCTGACTAAATCCAAGGCCTGTAGCTCTTGAGCAACCCTCTATCTTTTCCTCTTCTGTCCCTAGAGGAGGGAGGACAGTCTATCCAAAGCTGGCATCTGTACCTGGGTGGGGGCTTGTCTGGGGTACATTGGGCATTTCTTCTCCCTTTCCTGCTCTTTCTCCTCTTCCTATGAAGATGTGCAGGCCCTGGCTCCTCAGGCAGACCTTTGCCTATTTGTCATTCTTTTTTGAGATTCTAAATGAATCAGTTCTTATTTTTTCCAATGACAACTCCATCAGTGGAAAGAACATGTTTGTCATTTGGTAGTGTTTGTTGTCACTGTTTAGACGAAAGTAGGACTGAAGAGACCATCAAAGAGAAGAGGGCACAGGAGCTGGAAGGAAAGCAAAGGCATGAGACACACCCGAGAAAGGGAAAGGGAAGGTTGGGGAAGATAGAGACAGCCTCACAGAGTGACCCAGAAGGGTGAGCATGGAGAACCCACCCCCATGTACAACAGCCTCACAGGCGCAAGCCTCTTCCAGACACATGGCCTTTCCCTCTAGCCTTCCACATGGAGAGAGACACATTTCCAACTGTACGCGCACACACACGCACACACTTCAGTGAAGCCCAGAGTGTTTTCAAAGGCAGCCTGGAGTCCCACAAGGAGCTGCTTGCAGTGCTTAATACTGTGTTTGGACAGGAGTGCATGGGCTTTGGGGTTCAGAGATGGCAGCACTCAAAGAATTGACAGAGCCTCTTCGCCAAAAAGTTCAGCCTCAGCATTTCATTATTTAGAAAGTTTCATTGCTAAATTATTAGCTATTTTAAAACTGTAAGCTTAAGTTGTGTGTGGTAGTGTACACCTATGTATTCCTTGTCCTCAGAAGTCTGAGACAGAAGGTTTGCTTCAAATCCAAAGGTTGCTAGTCTGGGTTACATATCAAGTACCAAGTCCCCCAAGGGTTGTATAGCAAGACCTTCAAACACACACACACACACACACACACACACACACACACACACACACACACACACACACACGAACCACCCAACAGAGAGTAAAAGGTAAAATGTCCTCTGTGATGCCAATGGTAAGCCTACTAGGCCCCAGTCACTGGACTGTCTCTTTTACCTCTGTGACCTCACTCTATCCTCCTATAGTCCTGAAAAGCAGGTATTATCAGCTCCACTTCACAGTTCAGTAAACCAAGGCCTCAAAAAGTTTAGTAACTTGTCCCAGCATTTACACTGTGTCCTATGTTATTCTGGTCTCACAATCACAAAGCAAGAAATATATATATATATATATAGTCCTAAAGTTCAGATCTGGAAACATCAAAATATTTAACAATGACTTGTGATGGAGAAGAGACCATTTCAGCATGCTTTTTATTATATTTTCCATTATTTCTATAATGAAATAGATTTTTTTATAATTGAATACTTTCTTTTGAAAAAACAACAACAACAAAAACCAGTTATTTATCATAGCCAGTTGTTTGTTCTAGCCACTGCCTTTCCTGTCTTTGCACAGAGGGTTTGCTCTCTGCCTTTCAATTTTCAGTGAAGACTATCCCAGATCCTCTTTCCAATGTCATCTCTCATTCCAACACTCAAAAACTGTGTCTTAGTCTGCTGAGCCACAGGCATGTTAGCATAGGAATAGAAGACTTATTAAGGAAGGGTTCGAGTCTGCCATCCCAAACCTACCCTTGAGCTCTGCATTTTGTGGTGCCTAAATAGCTTTGTAATGAGTCCTCCTCATGTTTGTACAATGTGTCTTTCTTCTATTCTTTTGTTTTCACAAAGAACTCGGTGACATCTGACCAAAGATGATTTCAGGCCAATGGAGATTGGCATCTGCTTGTAATTGTAAGATAAATGTGTGATAAAAGGGAAGACCACAGAAGAAGGCAGGCCCTCTAGTCAAGGCTTAGCTTGATCATTTTAGTCTGATGTAACTGCTCTGAGCAGAAAGTAAAAATGTCATGAAAACTGAGTCAGTGTTAATTACTTTAGTGTATTGAGATCCTTGACTTGAAAGTCACCAGGTTGAGCTGAATCCTTGGTGGCTGGAGCCAACAAGGATAACTAGCATTTTAAGCAAAGGGCTGGGAGCACACAACATGTAAATTTGAGAGAGGGTTGTTCTTCTGCAGATGATCTAAATGTCAAGTACATCCCCTTGCAGGGGATACACAAGTGGAATCTGAAAACTATTATCTCCTGTAGAAATGAACTCTCAATTTGCTCACCACACAGGAAGGGCAGACTCTAGTCATTTTCACTGCCAGCAGG